CTTTCTTTCTTTCTTTCTTTCTTTCTTTCTTAATGCAGAGACGAAAGAGTGAATTTCATCCCTTCTTAATCTTTCAAGTATGCCGGAGAAGAGGATAGTCACGACAAGCTCTAGTCTTGGATGTCCAAAAGGAAAAGGGTCAAAGCATAACAGAGAAATAATCTAAAATTGGAAAATTGAGGGCTTAGGGTCAGTTGAGGAAGACACATGATGACATTCAAAGATACAAGGAATTCAAGGAATTAGAAAAATTATGTAATAGGCATAAAATAAAAAGACAGTAAAAAAATAAAAAGTCAGTATTCCGACGCCAAGTTTTTCAGACTTGTTTTGGTCGTGTTAGATCTACAACAAGGCAAAGAATAAAGGAACCTGTATTAAAAAATATGTATAAATATAATACACACTCACAATTTGTGATGCAACCATCAACAGGAAGAATTCAGTGTGACCAAAGGGAGGGCGTCAGGAGAAAGTGATTTCACATGAGAAAAACATTTGTTCTGTTTTAACAACAGTGGCACACCCAGCAGCCCCGGCAGCCAAAAGATACACACCAGAGTCAGACCATGGTTATGTTCAGACAAACACGGGAGGTTAAAAAGGTGCCTGGATGAGCCACATGCTCCCCACAGACTGAGGAAAACTGAGCTGATAAACTAATGTTAGCCGATGCTTTTCGTAACACAAGCGAGTTTAACTAATGCTATACTAATGCACAGCAACTAGATAGGATCCCATTTCTTTTTAACAACAACACATTATAGCAGCAAGTGCCTCTGGAAAGCTGTGTGTACATTTTCAATCAAATAAGAGACTTTACTTGCTGATTCTATTGTCAGACAGTGACATAAGAGATTGGAATTACAGGAATTACAGCACAATTACTTTCAAATCAACAAATAGACTAATTTCTTCCACACTGAGAGTTCTATCACTCCTTGTTCTAACAAACCATGTACAAAGACACTAATCAGACTCTGGTGAGATAATGATGTAACAGGTCATCTTCCTTATAGGACTTTCATATAGAAGACTGGGCTTCGCCAACTTCAAGTTATTTTGTCCAGCCAGTGAGGGAATTGTTCAAATTTCAGGCAACTCAAAGCAATTCCAGCTCACAGATATACATTGTACTGATATTTCTATGAGACTGAACACAGAGACAAGTTTTTACAATTTTGTGTCACTGCACAGAAATGATTTTTTGGTAGTCAAAACACAAGAAAACACTTAAGATAACATGAACTTCTAAGCTTTCATTTGAATAGATATTAAGCTTTTGAAGTCTTGCTGACATAAATCAGTTGTTAGAGGAATGGAATGCTGTTTCCATCCTTTTCTGCCTTATCTGCTGAAGTATAAGAACCTCTTATAACCTTAAAAGTTATTGGATAAAGTACCCAGTCAAAAGTCCCTTTTTGTAGATGCAGAGAGTTTCATTCAAAAGTTAAAGAAAATCCTGACGTGTGCTTTGCCAAAATAAGTTTAAAGAAAGTCAGACTCCTGAATAGATGGCACATCAGTGCATCTTTAAATCGCTGTTGCCTGGGCATTTCTGACACATGTATACACTGTAAGGATCCATGTCTAGAAAAAAAAATAGGAAAAGCTAACAGGCACGCTCTACAGCGCAGACACGCAATCCGCTTCGCACACACGCATAAACAATTTAATGTCAGTTGTGCGGCGTGCATCTTTGCCAAACCCGCATTGTCATTTATCTCTACCCATCTCCCTGCTCCTGATTAGACATTTAGCTTTTCGGAGCGGGACTGGAGGAGGCGAGATTAGATCTGTTACAGTGGAGTTCTCTTCCAGCGGTGATAGAGGTTCTGACTCCACTTTTTCTGAGCTCGTGCACGATAATGTGCGCGTACAGTACTTTCTTCCCATAACCATGGAACATAACCGAATGAGGGTGGTTGTGCATCTTTGAGTGCATGTTAAACAGATTAACTGGGATCGGCTGTTTGGACATGTATTTGGACTGGCGCGCGTATGAACTCACAAAGAAGGATACTCAGACTCAGACATGTGTGTGTGTGTGTGTGTGTGTGCACCTGTGGAACTGTGGCATGGCAGGCTGACCGCCAAACCAGGTCTCCCGACACACGCACACAAATAACAAAGTCTGCCCAGCAAAGCGCCGCGGTCAGGACCAGTACACGAGAGCAAAGACATTCCTCACTCCTATGAGCTGAGCTCTCTGCTCTCAGGCCAAATGATTAGAGCGCTTTAATCAGCCGAGGCTCTGAAAGGACGGCTATCTCCCGGCGTTTCATATCTCTCACTCTGCGTCTCTCGTTGCAGCTCTCTCTTTTCCCCCCTCAGCGACAACCTGTCCAGCCGATAGTCATTTTCCTTCAAAAGACATACGGAGATAGGGACATTCAAAAGGGAATGAGCGCGAGACAGAGAAAAGAGTGATGCAGGATGGTATGTCCAGCGTCTTTCAACAGAGAGAATCAATGTCCTGGCAGTCTGGAGAGCAGGCCACAGGTGTGGCTTCAGCCCCGGCCGCATCACAGTCACTCACTGTGTGTGAGTGTGTGAGGGAGCCAGCGAACAAGTGAGCGAGTGAAAGAAGATGACAATTTATGTCAGTGGGGATGAAAAACAAGTAGCTGATTCCTTCTGTGTTGATTCCCTTAATCCATTCGAGCTTTAAAACGCAGTTAATGTCCCACGTATTGTATAGTACGAGGTCAGTCGAACACATTGAATTCTAAAATGAATTGAGCAGACTTTGATGGACACAAAGAGGCTCTTTCTGCCAGCTAGTTTTCTCTTATTGGTCTTAGCTGCTGTATTGTACATGGCAGCAATCTGGCAGATATAAAGGTCATCTGGCAGACAGCCTGAATAAACTCAAAGAATTAAAGTCTTTTGAAATTGCTGCTACTCATTGACTAATAGTCATTTATCAAGCTGGAAAATACTCATAATTTTTGTCTTACATTTAGACTGATGTTTGATAGTTAAATAATCACATATAGAAAAACTCTTTATTTGTTATTAACCTATATTAATATTTATCAAATTAAACAACTCCTGAGAATAAGATGATATAGATTTAACCACAAGATAGTCAAAAGTCCATTCGCATCCCGGTATGAAATGTAAATAGCACCTAATCTCTCATGCGCAATTTTAGTCTAATCTGAACAGTTAAACATTTTTTAGGCTATGAGAGTGTGTGCTTAATTGCTTATATGGAATTTTTCCACCTGTGAAATCAGATCGTTGCTTCCTTTGTGACAGGGATGGAATCCCCAGGCTTCTGCAATAAAGTTATCTTCCAGACCTGTCCTACCTCAACCAATGTAATACATGTTTGTTTGTTGTGTTCATCTTCTAAAACCAGAAGTGTAAACACCGTGGCAAGATTTTGTGAGCTGGCAGCATAGACAGTTTGGGATAGCTCTTTCGGTGTAGGGTTTCTAAGCATGGGAATGAGCGGACTAATGACTGTTTTCTCTCTTCTGCTTCCTTAAAAGTGCGTTTGACACACAGACAGTATTAATTATCAACACTGTCAAGCACAGGCAGAATTTTGGGATTGAAAGTTGTGACGAGATGTCAAAGGTTTAGGCCAGGATGGAGAGAGATGCCAAATGTTTACATTGTCACATACTGATTTATGAACAAAATCTCTTATGATATCTTCAAATAATAAGATTTAGACAAGATATTCAATTTTTGGACGGTCATAGTAAAAGCCATTTCTGGTTCCTATCTGAGCTCAGGTTGAATTTCGACGTGCACGTACACAATTGAATTAATTAATTAATTGTATTCCAGGAAATTATCAAATCGATTAAGGCTTGTGACAGTTTCCCTTCCTATTCTGTGGCCCAACACACTCTGCTGGTGGACTTCGTGGATTGTTTCTCTTCCCTACCAAAGTTATTTTCAGTAACACATCCCCAAAAAATGACTATCTGAGCTAAAAGAGAGAGGGAGAGAGAGAGGGAAAGCGAGCTAAAGAGCTATCTGCCAGTCAAACAAGCCCGGAGACTTGCAGAGCCTCATCCCACGATGACCTTGACTGCTCTGAGAATGAACAGTGGGAGGATTCAATAGAACAAAACCACAAAGCTTCACTTTCAAACACTGGGCGAAGCGTGTATGTATGTGTGTGTGTGTGTGTGTGTGTGTGAGAGAGAGAGAAGAGGACTGAATCATTTGAAGTTGTCTAACCAAACGCTGCACGCCGAGCAATGAAAGCAATGCACGGCCGGACAAAAAAAAAAAAAAGTAACCCAAGGGAGCAGAACACATGTTATCAGCTCATCTGCATGGGCCTGCGTCTGTCTGCTCCACTGTCACACACCTCGGAGAGCTGAGCCTGTATGGATTGTTTTATGATGACATATCCACTTCGCCCAGAGGGTCCACCTGACATTCCTCACCCCGAGCCCTTCTTCTGGAGACACACACAAACACCATCGACACCACCTCCACCAATCTTCCTGTCCCTGTGGCTCACTGCAGGCAAAGGGGGAAGCGCACACACTTCTCACCTCACTGTCTTCCCCTCTAACCACTCAGAAAGATGCAGCTTAGTTAAACCTATCACGCTTGCATTTTTTAAAAAGCTGTCAGGTTTATTTTTGTTGAGTTGAGCAACTCCACTATGTGTAACTCATACAGCCACATCATGTCTGGAGACGAAAAGCATACAAGAAAAAGTCATTTTTTACTAAAATAAAATAAATGTTAAACGAGGAATAGAAAATATAAGGTCAATAGTATAGTTCGTCTTCCAAAAAAGCACATAGATAAATAGATGAATATGATTAGGCCATGTGATTTGACAATCAGCCCTATTGATACTTGACCAATATGAATATTGGGCTAAATACTGAATACAGAATGCTTAGTGATGGTTCTGTGGGTGAATGTTAGACAGGACTGCACAAGTCTTTTTGATTTAACGCGACTAAGTTTAAGCCTGACTAAAGAGTGAGGCACATAAAAACACGTGGGGGACTTACCACCAGAGTCCGATGATGTTGACCGGACAGAGCAGGATGAAGAACAGGGCCAGTTGGATCCGTGATAGGCGAACCGTCATGTTGATTCTCAATCAGATCCCCCAGCAAAGTTTAATGTGACGAGTTCAGTCAATACCGAATGCGGTTCTTGCTTAAATACATAGGAGGTCCTTGTTTTTTCTTGCGGATCGCGAATCAATAAAAGCTCACTGCAAAGTGGCTGTCAACCAGTGCGCAAAAGTCCAAGTCGTCTGCTGCGGGGCGCATCTTAATGCGCAACAAAGCTGGTCAAGTGGCTACTGAGGAGATGTCCGCTTTCAAAGGTGTGGTTAACCTCTTCATTGTCGTCCCGCGCTGTCTTGTCGCGGGCTGTTACATGCTTTCGATGCAGGAGGAGAGAGAGAGAATACCCCAAGAAAGCAGCGAAAGCCCCGTATCTCGCTATTTGCGCACGGAAACACTCTCCGGCTGAGTCCTGGAGTCACGCCACACGGAGAAGTTCACACTCAATTACGTTTGGCTGCAAAAACAACCCCAGACAAAAAAAAGAAAAAAAAAAAAGACGGAGAGTTGTCCTCATTTGAAAGGGAACGATGTCAGACTTTTGGAGTTTTTTTTTTTTCTTCGACGCGTTTTTGGTTCGCTCTCTGCGCGCGCTGAGCTCACGCGCTGATGAAGCGGCTGAAACCATTTGCGGTGCCCATCCGGCTGCAGGTAGAGGCGCAGTCTGTCAGTGTGTGTTTTCTTTGGATGATAAAAGCAGGAAAAATGAGCTCGTCTTCTTCCACCTTAATGTGACGTTTGCTCCGGGCGAGGCGAAATCCTCCCTGTCACTCAGGGAAAGGGGGGGGGGGGGGAGAAAGAGAAACTGCAATTAGTTTTGGGAGGACCTAAGAGAGCAAGAGAGGGAGTAAACACACACAGACTAATGCAGACGAATGCGCACACATGCACGGGGGATCTGGCATAGAGTGAGTTTATGGTCGGCCGAGGAATGAGGCTGTGTCAGTACAGGTGTGATGGAACTTCGACTCTATTTGTGCCAACGGGCTGACACGTTGTCCGGTCTATTTATGGATTAACTTTGACCTCAGTGGACACATCAGGTCTTTAACCAATTGTTCAAACCACCATGCTGCACGAAAGACGTGAAGATTTACTAATTCCAGGACTCAGCTGGCTCTTAGTGTGTTGCTGAATCTTTGTCTAATGTGAGTGTGTGTTTGTCTGTGTGTGCGTGTGTGTGTGGTGGTGGTGGGGTGTGTATTATCACCTATCTGGCCAAGGGCATATCCAGTGAAATTCAATATGACTGTACTGTGGTCGCCAGTAAAAGACTTGTCACCCGACTTCATTCCACAGCAGTGATACAATTAATCACAGGCACAAACACAGGCATGCTCACCCAGACAAGTACCACTGTCTTTCATTAAGGGGCTCCAGCCCTCTCACTAACACAAATCCATGACTGGGGATTCATGGCCTATAAGCTATTATACATATTTACAAGTTCACAGTGTCAAATTCGGTATCATAAAGAAAATCAACGGCTTTGAGGTGGAAAATGCTGGCAATATTTGCCATCGCCTTAGGTTCAACAAGTGTTTTCCTGCTTTTAGTTTGTACAAAATAGAATGATGTTAGAGGAAAGGAAGTCAAACTTAAGATAAACAGATCCTTTCTGGGCTTGATTTGTGTTCCACTTGTTACCAGCGTGGGGAGAATGCTTACTTACCAACGCACAATGATAGATGGCAACATGCAGCCCTTTGTTTGCAATGGAAAGTATGAAATGAGTACCCTGGGGGTTTAAAATGTACATTAAGGGCAAGAGTGACAAAAGTAGGCAAAGTTTGATATGAACTAGAAACAAGAATACATGTTAATTATATATTAAAATATATAATATATCATAATTAATGTTTTAATCATCCTACCATAAGTTAACAGATGTAAGTGCATCATACCTGGGATTCAATTGTACATCTATGGGTCATAAACAATTCTTATAATAGCATACTTACATAATTTTATTTCCATGAATACAGGACTGTAGGAGAGAAGTAGAATCAACATTTGTGTTGCAGATCTCAGTGTCAGCACACTTCTGGACCTTAAAGCCTTAAGATAGGCTTTGAAAATTGAAAGCCTAGTCATAATGGCTATGAATGAGCTTTACAATGAAACTTTAAAAAAATAGAAGAGGTATTTAAAGAATGTCCTGGTTTTCTGGTACATTAGTGGTCCATGCCATGTTATAAATCTCAAAGGCTGTTTCTAATATTGTTTAATTTATTGGAACTCTCATCAAAGCAAGCATGCTGTGTTTTGAGTCGTGACCCTTTACAAGTGTATGACACAGGCTTATTTGTCTTTAATGCATGACCCTTTTTTGAACCAGTTAATTAATCAGATGTACAACCCCACCATACTCGGATAAGTCATTTTGTACCTTTTGCTACTTTTAGCTTTCTTGTGCTCTTTTAAACTGAATTAGATCCAGCAACTTCCAGCATCCTCAGTACATAAAGTTACAACTGACCCATATCTGTTACATTTATGGATGTTGTAATTCAATTATATATTGGCATGCAGTATTAAAAAGGAAAAGAAAAGGATGGGATACATAGACTGAAGGAAATGGATTCATTGATAAATCTGATATATGTGAGACTCTTGCTCTATATTATTCAGTCTGGCTTTCTTCAGTCTTCCAGTTTCTGTCTATTAATTTAGTCTGTTATTTTTCATTGCACAGACATTGCGTCTAAAGCAGAATTCTTGTCATGTTGGGTGCGTTGCATCAAATGGAAGCTTTGACATTAGAGATCTGTCTACCCTCTGTAACTTTATTGATGGGCTTGATGAAGTCAAGATAACAAATCACCCGCATAATCAACACAATCTGTGTTCGATAAACTTGAGTGAGTGACTTTTGTGGGACTATTTTCATTTACTGCCTTTTGTTTCATTGTCTTAAGTCGGATGTGTAATACAGCAGAAAAACATGGCAGTTATTTTGGAAGCAATTTACATTAATGAAGGTCAGATTCTAATGATCAACAACACCTCTCAGATTGGCTGTTTTATCTAAATGATGATTGGTTGGTATTAAGTTGACAAATATATGTCAGTTACACATCCATCACACTGCTAATCTTGGCAATGCACACAAGTGCTCACCACCACTACTACTCACCATTAAGGGTTGGTTTTATGAGTGTGACGAGTACTGATGGATAATCTCATAAATAAACATGTGTTTGGCAAACCAGTGAAAGGTTCTCGAAAAGTTTAGAGTCCATACTGGATTTATGCTTGCTGGCAGAAAGTTTGGCTATGTTTCTTCTAAAAGGCATCTGGTTTAAGTTTGTGTAACAAACACCTGCCATGTAAGTGTATTAAAGGTTCTGAACCCCGAGGGAAGAAAACACTTCAATATTTATATATAAGAATATACAAAATACTTCATTTTATAGTATATTAAGTATCAATATGTAATATGATATACTTCAATATGATATTTACAATGTCAATATTTCTCTGAGGCATGGGCCAGGATGATTGCTAGAACTTTTCAGATATTTTTTACCAACACAGTCTGCATGAGCGGGTTAGTATGTACCATGCTTAATGTGTTATTTGCATAATTTAATAAATGTATTGAAGGTAAATTTGTGGTCCATGAGCACATCTTTTTGTTTGACCATGCAGTTTTGGTCTCACATTTTGGAAGCCATGGTCATCTTTTGATTGCAAAACCATTGCAATACAATAATAAAATGTTTTAGAATTAGAAAAACACAATTTCCAAAAAATATGAAGAAGTAACTACACGTGAATTGCTTCCAAAAGAATAAAGAGTTTAAGTTGCATTTAGTGAAATATGGTTGAATAATTGATCATCTGTAGGTGCTCACACCTCCATACAATCATTCAGGTGGTTATATACAGATTCAAGGCAAATAAAGGAACACATAAGTGATGATCTTTGAGAGGTAAATGTTACCTGTCAATCTGATGAGGCCATTTCTTAGTAACCATGAGCCCATCGATCTACAATGAGAAAATGTATTTACAGGTGGGAACCTTTTAGAACAATACGTTTTTCAAGTAGTGGACATCCCAGCAAGCTCAACACCAGAATGGGCAATGCTGAGATAAAGTGCATGTGCCCCATTACAAACTCCTCCAGCTTCTGAAATGTTCGTGATTGTACAGTTACCGAAATGCAGACAAAACAAAGCGGAGAGCAGAATTATTCGGAGAATAAACCGTGACGTTTCGGGCAGCCAGGCTCATCTCCATGGAGCGTGCTGTATTGATATGTGACCTGGTGGCCAGCCGCAACAAAATTAGAAAGTTATGAAAATTGAGTTATCTCTCAATGAGCCATAAATAACCTTCGGCACAGTTGTGAACATAAGCCTGACAGTCGTACCACACTTAAACCGGGTGTTCTCTCTTAACCACCTTGCCCCTCGCTTCTCCTCCTCGGTTTCCCTCTCATCTTGTCCCCCTCTCTGCTGGGTTAGTGTGTTTTGTTAGGGAGGGCTGATTCTTCATACTTGGCTGAGGTTTTATGGACAATAAAGATCTGATTTCAAAGTCCGGCAGGGTGTTGGGCCTGGGGTCTTGGCTTCGCTTTAGTTGCCTGCTGGGAGGAGACACTGAACAGCCCCTAACCAGATGGCGATCGGCCCACATACAGTAGATTCATATTCTGCGTGATGTGCATTGGTAGAGTTGTTGCCCAGAAGCAACTACATTTTTCACCACTTTGGTCAACGAGTTTCACTTATCACAAGTAAGAAAATGACCCCGTATCATCATTTTCAGCACTTTTTATCTACATTTGAAATGCACTGCAATGGATAAAAACTGTCATATGTGAAATTGTAATGCATTTTTTGTGCAAACAAACATGGAGCTCAGGCTGAACTGCACCAGTCCTGTAACATATTTCAAACTTTCGGAGGCATTTGTGGCTAATGGGACATCAGTCTGTCTAGTTTTGCCGAAAACAAAAAGCTTTGTTGTCCTTCTCAAGACGCTTAAGCAGCACAGAGGCTAACCAAAA